CAGAGACCTCCGAGTAGCAGCGGGCTGCCTTCCAAGAGTGACAGAAAGCAGGGCCCCGCCCGGGTGATGAGCACTTTCCTCAGCGCTTTCTGGGTTCTTCTGTGGCCCTGCTTCACCTTGAGACTGTGGTGAGAGGTTTCAGGGTCCACTTGGGGTTAGAGCTCCCCAAGGTTCCCCGGGTGGTGGGTGGAGGGCCGGAGGGGCTCTGTCGCCAGCCCAGCAGCAAGGATGAGAACACTGCTGGTCTGGGAAGTGAGGTCCTCGGCTTCGCCTTATCATTGGGTCATGACCTCAGGTGTTAGGAAAGGCCATCCGAGACCCTGGAACAGAACGTGTGTGCAACCCCAGGGAGGCGCTTTGTGTTTCCAGCAGTTCATGAAGCTCCAGGTGGTGGAAGTCCATGCTACTGTTTCGAGTCTGGGGTTTTCACCTTGTTTTTCTCACTATCTGCCCCACCCCTCCTTTGCTTTCAGGAAGTTTGGTTAAGTGGCAAACTTAACCATAGACAAATAAGAATTGGAAGATCGGAATACTCTTTTTAAAAATGTCACAATTAGCCAGGTGTAATCCACATGTAATGTGCATACCTGTAATCCCAGGACTCTGGGCACCGAGGCAGGAGGATTGCCATGAGTTCAAGGCCAGCCTGAGCTACATGGCAAGAGCCTGTCTCAGACACCAAACCAGACCAAACCGGTCCTCATTGTCAGTCTTCCTGATCAACAGTTTGCTGTTTGCAGAGCCTGGACTTCCACCCTCAGCACTGTCAAAATAAAGTAAAACACAGCGCTCAGGGCTGAGTCGAGCCTAGGTGTCCTCTCATCCGCTCAGGCGAGGGCATTTTGTGGGTGAAGAAGCTGAGCCCCAGGGCTGCCCATGTGACCAGGGCAGGGCAGGTGGTGCTCCCAGCCCCCTGGCAGCTCCCAGGTCTGCACCTGGAAATGTAGCAGAGCGTGGGGACAGCAGATTTATTTGGACACCCTCAGGTTGTGGTAGGAAGATGTCCTGTTAGTGCACAGGGTCCTGACCCAGGTATAGACGAGGTGGGAAGATGGCAGGTGGGTCAATGAGAGATAGATGGCAGGTGAGAGGTGCAGGACAGTGAAGGGCAGGTGGCAGAGCTGTCCGGCAGCTCCTTCTCTGTGTCCTTGGCCCAGCCAAGCCTGGCCCTGTAGGACTGCAGCTGTTGGTGCTGCCCGGGTGCACAGGCTCTGTTCTTCCTGTGAACCACAGGCCATGTCGGGAGCAGCGAGCGAGGGGTGTCCAGCTTCCCACGGACCCTCCAGCTGTAGCTCGAAAGAAAGTCTAAAAATAGATGCATGGGAGAGAAGCCAGGAGCCACTCACCCGGCCCTGGGTGCAGGAAGTGGAGGAAGAGGAAGCAGAGGAGAGACAGGCGCCCCTGAGCTCCTGGGGTCGGCCGGGGCAGTTGGGAAGGGCGGTGGCACCTCGGGCACACCAGGCACCTAAGCTGGAGTGGCACAGGGTCTCCTGCCCTGGGCGTCAGCTGCAGAGGGAAGACAGATGGGAGGGCACTGGGAGAAGGAGCAGCTGTAGGGAGGCTGGGCAGAGAAGAGGCTCAAGCTAGAGAGACCTGTGTCCAGGGCCCACAATGACTGGACCGAGACAGCATCCCAGCTTCCCACAGAGGCTTCAAGTAGCAGCCTTTCGCCACATTGCTAAGGCTGAGCTTGCACTTGCAGTCCTCCTGCCTCAGCCTCTCAGGAAGCTGCGATTACAGGCCAGGGCTGCTTGACCCCAGCAAGGGCATAAGAAACCCCTGTCCTCACTGTGGTAGTCTTCCATCCCTGCCGCTGAGGCAGAGACAGGGGCCACTGTGGCACCGGGCATGGGGAGTCCTTGCTGTCTCTCCAGCCTGAGGGTGGCAGCAGGGTTACTGTCCTGATCCCCCCCCCCCCCCCCGCCACACAACAGAGGTCCTTTCCCTTCTCTGTCTTCCTGGAGACACCCAGAACCCGGCCGAGGCTCGTGGGTGCCAAGTGAGGACCCAGGGGCTCAAGATCCGCAGGAGAGCGCAGTGTTCCTGCCTCTTCCTTGATGTGCCACCTCCATTGTAGCTGTGACCCTCAGGTGGCTCTGGGAGTGCTGGCCCAGTGGGCAGGGGGAGGCCTGAGTTCCATCTCAGCAGGAAGGAAAACTGCTCTTCTTTGGTATTTGAGACAGTGTGATCCAGGCTGGCCCTCAATTCACTTTGTAGTCCTCATTAGGCAGCAGTCCCCCTGCCTTGGCCTCCCAAGTGCTGGATCACAGGCCTGTGGCACCGCGCCCAGCTAACCAGGGCTGATTTCAGGCATGAGCCTGATTCCTACAGAAGGGCTTATGGTCTGGCTTGCTTACCTGTGCTTGGGGTAAGATATTTAGGGTGCTTCTAGTCCATGCTGCAGATTCACAGCAGGGACAGTGCACATGGCCCTGGGACAGGGGGCCCCCAAGTTTGGTTCTGCTTCTAGTGTCAGGTGCCAGCGCCCCATCTGCCTGTAGTCGTGGTCCCTGACTTGGTGGCAGCTCTGCCCCCTGGGTCCCAGCTCATAGTCCGCATCACTGTGACCTCGTACCCATGACTTTCCATGTCCAAGCACCTTCAGGGGCTGGGGCTTTGCCCAGAAATGGCCCAGAGAAGCCAGGTGTGGTGGCACATGCCTGTAATCCCAGTACTCCAAGGGCAGGAGGATTGCTGTGAGTTCAAGGACAGCCTGAAATACAAAATGAGTTCCAGGCCAGCCTGAAGTACATAGTGAAACCCTGTCTCAAAAGACCAAAAAAAGAAAAGAAGAAAGGCAATGGCTTGGAGCGCATGCTCCGGGAAGGAGGTTTGGTTCTGTCCCCAGCACTGGCCAGGGACCCTGTGAGGGAGGGAGCCACGCAGCCCCACCCCTCATCCAGACCCAGGGACCCATAAACAAAGCGACTTTCATGGGAAAAGCTGCGCCCTCCCTTTCTGGGACAGTGGAGGAGGATCAGAGAGCGTGGGCGTCAGTTTTCTTCCCGCCTCTGCCTCTGTGGAGAGAAGCCCTGGCGCCACGGGGTGGGTTTGGGGCTTCTGGATCTTGGCTCAGGTCCCCAGATGCCTGTGGCACTGGTGCTCAGAGAGGGTACCCGGGGAAGCCCTGAGCTGAGTGGCGACCTTGGGATCATGGCCGCTGTTGGGGGAGTGCTGAGCTCAGATGGCCCGTGCCCATTCAGTCCGTCCTGCCCCCAGGCGCCTGTGTGAGTCTGGGGACTGCATACCAGGCCTGATCCTTTCCCCTCACACCCTGCAGATTCGTTCATTCATTGATTCATTGACTTGTTCACCGTGTGCGCAGCCCAGAGCCCGAACCCCACCCCCCTTCAAAGCAGCACGGGAGGGCTGACCCCTGGGAGCTCCTTGAGCCTGTGGTGCCACCGCTCCATCAGATCCCTACTTCCCTGCATAAACTCAGCACCAAAGCTACTGTCCCCCAGTGGATAGATCTGTGTTTAAGACTTTGGCCTTCATTGTTGAAAATTTTTGTAGCTTTTTATTATTATGTATGGGTTTCTTTTCATTTTTCCTGCAAAGTGGTGTGTGTGTGTTTGATTTCTTTCTTTCTTTCTTTTTTTTTTTTTTTGCTGTGCTGAGGATGGAACCCAGGGCCTCTGCGCTGAGCTAAGCTCCAGCCCATTGTGTCTTTTTCATTTGGAGACAAGGTCTCCTTAGGTTGCCCAGGTTGGGCTGGAACTTGGCACCTTCCCAGCTCAGCCTCCCAGATGCTGGGGGGACAGTTGGGTGTCACTGTGTCCAGTTTTGTTTTGTTTGATTTTTTTTCAGTGTAATTTGGAAATTCTGATATATTCTAAGTAAACGCCTCTTCCGATGCTGCCTCTGCTCCACACTGCCCCCCTGCTTCCTGGGCTGTAGAGGTGCACAGGAAGTTGGGGGGTCTCTGGGTCTCCTCTGTGAAGCCCGCCCTTCCCTGGGGTTCAGGCTGCGGGTCCCCACCGGCGCCAGCGCCTCCTCTGTAGCATCATACCCCAGGGTTCAGGCCCCACCTGCACACCGGCTTCCTGTCTTTTACTTCTAGGTTTTCTGTTCGATTATTCTTACAACTCTCACTGTCTGCTAGAATGTGAATCACTCTCTTTCTTCGGTTTTGTCAGATACTTATTTTCCTGTCTTTCTCTTACTCCAAGTTTTTTTTTTATTTATTTTTTATTTTTTTATTTATTACATTTATTTATTGTGTGTATGTGTGGCCAGCTCAGCCCACCAGGGGGCGGGGCTGGCTGGCATGTGGTGCTGGGGGATTGAACCGCAGTCCCTGTGCTCTGCTAAGCTTGTTCCAAGTAGATGCTTTAGACCACTGAGCCATCTCACCAGCCCTTACTCCAAGTTTTGCATACAAGGTGGGTGGTATTTTCTGGTTTGGGTTTGCACTTTCTTGGCATGGCTCCCCAGTTCTGTTTTATTTTAATTAATTAATTAATTTCTTGAGTGAGGGTTTCACTATGCAGTTCCAGCTGGCCTTGAACTCACTTTGTAGCTGAGGCTGGCCTTGAACGCATGGTACTCCTCCTGCCCCAGCCTCCTGAGTGCTGGGATTATAGGTGAGCACCATGGCTGGCTCCAGTTTTCTTTCGTTAAACATTTGATTTTGTCAGAAAGGCATAAAGTGTGGGGCAGAACCCAGGCTGTCCAGGGTGCAGGCCCTTGCACCCGGCCTGGGGACCCATGTGCATCCCTCCATGGGCTGCAGGAGGCTGCTGCCTAGCTTGGGTGCCCTGCTGCACAGCTGTCCACGGAGATGCAGGGTTGCATGAGCTGCCCTTTCTGGAGGCACAGGGAGGAGCCATGGGGCCCTGCACCTGGCAGCAGAGCGTCCTCCTTGAGCCTAGGGTGGGGCGAGGGGTCCAGGCAGCAGATGGCGGGAGGACTTGGCTTTGCCCCTTGTAGAACCTGCAAGGAAGAGGTGGGGACACAGTGCCTCGGGTGGTCAGAGCCCCTACCTTCTGTCCCTGCAGACCCACGCGGCTGCTCTGAAGCCCCTAGCCACGCCCCGGGGATGTCAGAGAGTCCCCTGGGACCCAGGCCAACAATGCTGCAGGCCGACGCAGCCGGGCCACCCACCTTCACACAGACATTCGCCTCTTCCTGCACCATCTCCAGCAACGGCCCTGGCCAGCGCCGGGAGAGGTAGGAGGGCACCCCAGGGGTGCGGTGCCGAGTGGGGAAACCCCAGCCTAGGTCTGCAGTGGGGGACACTGAGCCCGGGAGAGAGCTAGGGAGGGACAGGAGCGGCCTTTCCCACTTAGACCATAGGCTTGCAGTGGTTGGAAGTGCGTGTCATGTGGTCACCTTTGCGCTGGGCTCCGTGTACCCGCTTCACCTCACCCCCTTTCCTGTCCGTGGTCCATGGGTGCTCAAGTCCTGTGCTACAACTTGGTCACTCATGGACCCCAGATCCAGGGCTTGTGAATTGGGCACAGTGTGGACGTGCTGTTCCCAGCCCCCTGCGGGTGCCCAGGAGCAAGGGTGGAGCAAGGCCTGTGGACACCACGTCCTTCTTGCCCATGGCATCACTGTGCCAGAGCTCTGGGACACTAAGTAAATTGAGAGGCTTTCTTTTTTGTTTTTTTTTGGTGGAACTGGGGATTGAACTTTGTCCCTTGCACTTGCCAGGCAAGTGCTTATTCTACTGAACCATCTCTCCGCCCTCAGACACTTTTGATGAGACAGTCAGACTCTTATTCAAGTGAGGTACTAAGTGACACACAGGCAGGTGGTGTAGACAGCGCAGGTATGCCGGGTAGAGATGTGATTCACAGCCCTGGCAGGGCCGGGTAGCTGCTCAGATTTTAACCCATGTCAACTATTGATTTCTGGAAGCTTCCATTTAATTAGTACTCAGATGAGGTTGGGGAACAACGCCTGCGTTGTACCCTGTCTGCTGACAGTTACTGATTTCAGGGTGTACCCTGTACCTTTCCTTGTCTCTTTTTCGTTTTTGCTTTTGAGACAGGATCTTGCTATGTAGAGTAGCCCAGGCTGGCCTCCTGCCTCAGCCTCCCAGGGGTTAGGGTTACAGGTGTGCACCCCGCACACAGCTGTTGATTGATCCGTTTACTTTGTTGTCTCTGAGCAGCCTGCCATCCACAGAGCGCCAGTGGCTGGCGAGCAGCCCAAAGTCTACTCCAGCCCTGCGGGACGGCAGCCGGCCCTCCGGAGGTCTGCGTGGTGCCAGCGAGTTCTCGGGCCCGGGCAAGGACTCCCTGGGGCTGCCCTGCTTCCCTGGCCCGGACCTGCAGGCCTCTTTCCCTGGCCATGAGCTGTCCCTGGCAGAGCCGCCTGGTGCTCTTTCTGCCCCACGCAGCCAGGCCTTCCTGGGCTTCAGCGCCACAGCCCCAGCTGGAGCTGGCCTTGCACCAGGCGGGGACATGGGCTCCCTGATGCCCAGTGCCCACGCTGCACCTCCAGCCCCCGGTGGTGCCCTGACTGCTCCGGCGGCCACCAACAGCAGCTTCCTGCCACATACCTTCCTTGCTGCTGTGCCCGGACACAGCGGCCGCCTCAGCCCTGGCCCTCAGGTTCCAGGGACAACACTGCCAGGGCAGCCGCCCCTGCCGGAGAAGAAGCGGGCCTCGGAGGGGGACCGGTCCCTGGGCTCCGTGTCGCCCTCCTCCAGCGGCTTCTCCAGCCCGCACAGCGGCAGCACTGTCAGCATCCCCTTCCCCAGTGTCCTGCCTGACTTCTCCCGGCCCCTGGAGACAGCCTCGCCCCTGCCAGGTGGGTGTCCCGCCACCCTGCCCCTGCCTGGTGGGGCCCTGCTGCCGTGCCATGTGCTGGGATGGGCAGCCCAGCCTGCGCTCCTCCCTGGGCTGTCCACACTACCCGCTCTGAGCAGGGTCCGGCGCAGGAGTCTGGTTGCCATCTCTGGCCTTCTCCATTTCTCCTCCATCCAGGTTCCTTTCACCCAGGAGTGCCAGGCGCAGGGTTTGCCCACGACCATTTCCCTTTTACTTGTAGGACCTCACTCCTTAAAAGTTACTCCTTTTCTAATGAGATGAGGTCACCCATTTTATGAAAAATTTCAAGTATATGAGAAAGAATAAGATTCTTTCCCTGGCCATTGAAAAGCACTGACCTAGCTGTTTCTTTGCTATTTTTCTTTTTTGATTTATATATGTTTGTTTGTTGAGACCTGGCCTCCCCATGAAGTTCAAGCTGGCCTGGAACTCCTGTAGATCTTCCTGCCTTAGCCTCCTGAGCACTGGGATTATAGGAGTGTGCCACCAGGCCTGACTCTGTTATGTATTTTAAGTGAGCCCTGTACAGTTCTCATCCAGGTTCCTGCTGTCTTGTTTCGCGAAATAGAACAGGAGCTTGCTCCTCCCCACCCCCAGGGCTGTCCTGACCCCTTGTGCTTGGGCGTGGGATCTTGAGGTGCGGGGACATCTCACCAAGAGGCTGCAATACAGATGTCCTTGGCAGTCACTGCTTTTCTGTTCTTCTTTGTAGATAGTCCAAGTGACAAACTTGTGATTGTCAAATTTGTTCAGGACACTTCCAAGTTCTGGTACAAGCCTGATATTTCAAGAGACCAAGGTATGTGTGAGCATGGGACCGCTGGGACGTCTCCCACCTTCTAGGCTCGGGGTCCAGGTGGGAGGGAGGGTGTCACACGCCAGCGGGCCACAGGGCCGTGGCTGGGCTGATGGCTGAGTCAGGCCACACCAGGATCTTTCGTTCTTGTAGGAAAGTATCAGTGCTAGCCAGAGAGGGTGAGGAGTGGGTGTCCCCGGGAACTTTCCGGGGTGCGCTAGCCCTGCCAGCTACCAGGGCAGCAAGCCGTGCAGGACCGGATGCAGCGAGGTAGTGAGGTCACAGCCATGCTTGGTGGTTGCGTCCCCTCTACCCATGGCAGCGGGGTGGGTCTGAGCTGTGACGGTGGGTGCTGAGCGTTTCTGTGGGTCCGTGTGGATGGAACCAGGAGTCCTATGCAAGCAGAGTGCACCCTGCTCGGTTCTGCTGCTCCACGGTTTTCAAAACTGACATTTTTGCTATTTCTCGTTGCTTTTTTTTTTTTTTTTTACTACATAATAGACGTACATGTTCATGGGTGCAACATGCTAATATCACATATGCATGAGTATGTCATGGGAAGGCTGGGGTAGGTAGCTTTTCCATTTTACTAAACATCATGAAATCATGCATATATTTGAGTAGCTGTTGTGTCCCACTTTGCTCTGTTTCTGTGTCTGTCTGTCTGTCTCTGTCCGTGTCTATGTGTCTGTTTGTCTTTCTCTCTCTCTGGCAGTACTAGAGATTGAACCCAGAGCCTTTCACTGAGCTCCATCCCTGGCCCTTTTTATTTATTTCTTTATTTGGGCCAAGAATCAAACTTAGGACCTCGCGCTTGACAAGCAGGCACTCTTCTTCTTTTTTACTTTGAGCCTGGCTCTCACTAAAAGCCTGTGCTGGGCTGCTGCCCTCCTGCCTCAGCCCCCCAGTGCGTGCGTGTGTGGGTGGCCCCACGGGTGCCATGTGCTTGTCCCTGTGGCCGGACTCATTGAGCCCCCTGGCCACAGAGGGCTGCTGTCTCCTGCCTGAATCTCATTCTGGCACTGTCGGTCTGGGGCACCGTGGTGTCCCTGGGTCCATGTGGGAGGGACAGGGAACTGGGGCCAGGATCCTTTGGAAAGGCTAGGACCCCGGGCTGCTGGGCAGAGCGCTGGCATCGGGGGATTTAAAGCAGTCAAGGATGGCGAGTGTCCACGGTCTCAGGAGCCGGCGTGGCCACTCTGTGGCTCGTGCAGCCCTGAGGAGAGAATCGGCCCTCTGTGATTGCCTCCTGGCCGGCCCAAGAACACCCGGAGATGAACAGCAGGGTGGCTGAGCAGTGCCCCGCCTGCCTTCTCATTGAAATTCTGCCATGCCGTTATGTACAGAGCAGAAATTGCAAGAATGTGTATTTTTTCCTGAGCTCAATGACACCATTGTCATTTTAAATGGGAGAGAGGGGGAAGGGAAAATGAAAATCCCATGGCCTGGAAGGGCTTGTGTTGCCATGAATCAGGCTTTGTAGGAAGTTGCTCACTGGGTCTGTGGGCACCAGGGGCCAAAGGCCGGGGTCCCAGTGCCCCCAGCCAGCATGAGGAGATGCAGAGCCCGCTTTTGGGGCTCCTGACTAGAACAAGCAGGGAGCATGCCATGCTGGCGCTGGGGAGGGGAGATGCACAGTGCTGGGGCATTAGCCTCTGTGTCAGCCACGGCTGGCCTTCGGAAGTATTGGGGCAATTTACTTGTAAAGAAGAAAGGTTTATTTTGACTTGTGGTCTCAGAGGATGTTCAAGTCTGAAACAAGGTTGCCCTGGGCTTTGGGCCACTGGGAGGGATGCTGGGAACATGCAAAGGATGCTGGGAGCATACAAGGGATGCTGGGATTCCACCAGCCACTTTCCTCTGGTCTCCATCCCCAGTGACCTGCAGACCTCCCACATGCCAAGTCTGCTAGGTCGCCAACCCTTCCTGGGGACCTGTGTGCCCTCAGCACATGTCCCCCGCAGGAGTCAACATTACTGTCAAATGGCAGCATCACTGTCACAGTGAGCACCTGTGCCTCTGTGCCCCAGCACCTGAGGTGGGGGATCTGTGAGGACAGAGGTTTATTTTGACGGGAAATTCTGGAGGGTCCAAGTCACGGGGGATAGGATGAAGTCCTTGCTGCTTGCCGTCCTGGGTGTGGAAGAGGGCATGGGAAGACGGCCTTGCTTCAAAACACACCCATGCTAAGTGCCCGATCTCTTCCTGGACTTCAGCATGAGCTGGGGACAATCTGTAGTTAAGTCACGGAAGGTCGTGAGCAATAGTCACTCACGCCTCCTGCTCCCCTCCCTCCAGCCATCACCATGCTGAAAGACAAAGAGCCCGGGTCCTTCATCGTGCGTGACAGTCACTCCTTCCGGGGAGCCTACGGCCTGGCCATGAAGGTTGCTACCCCGCCTCCTTCCGTCCTGCAGCTGAACAAGAAAGGTGAGGTCTCTGGAACCTGTGTGTCCGGGTTTCCCATGGAGGGTCTGTGGGTTTGTGTGGATGCAAAGAAGCTGGCCGTTGGCGCCCACCAGTCTTCACAGGCTTTCTCCTTAGTAAGTGTTTATTATCTCAGGAATCTTTTCCTAAGTTTTCATCTTGATGAAGAAGGACCATTAGTTATTCATGAATTTTATTTTTTGAAATTTGAATAGTGTACTGGTCAGCTTTCCTGCTTTAGGACGTAGCACCTGACACCTGGCCCTGAGAGGAGGAGGGCTTTAACGTGACTCACGGCTTTAGGAGATTCAGTCCCTGGTCAGGTGGCTCCAAGCCAGGAGCATCACAGCAGAAGGGGAAGACCTGGAGGCAGAGCAGTGGAACAGTACCAGAGAGGGAGGGCCTGGGGACAGATACAGGCTCCACAGCCACCCCTCTGCCTCATACCCCACGTTCCCCAAGGCTCGCTGTACCTATTCTCAGGGCAGATCCCAAAGCCAGTCAAGTTGGCAGAGTTAGACCTAACCTTCCTGAGTAGGCAGTCATTCCCTTGTGTGAAAGTTGGAAAGATAGAACCAAAGGGCACCAGGCCACCGAGCTTCTGCTTTCAGCCCTGCCCACCTCGCTGCCCATTCTGCTCCCTTTAGGAGCCAAGTGCAACGCACACTCGTGTGTCTGTGCACTGATGGTGTGCTCCAGTGTGGACACACACGCATTTCCCTTTTCTTATATCAGAAGTGGCATATTACATGCACAACTTTTTTTTTTTCTTGTGGTACTGAGGAGTGAACCTACTGAGCAGAGATGGTCAGCGTATGTGGAGAGGTTTGTTCTGACACATGGCGTCCAAGGGCTCAGCCTATGGTCCTCAACCCTGTTGCTTTGGGGCCAGTGGCAAGCAGCATGACATGGTGGGACTGCATGGCAGAGCACAGAACTCGCCTGTGGCCACAAGGTGAAGCACAGGAAGAGAAGGGAGCCGGGGCTCCATGGGCCCCTGCAAGGGTGCTCCTGCCTACACGAAAGACCCCCTGCCGGGTCCCACCCCTATCGGAGCATTTGGTCATGAACTCAGCCATGGGTGGATCTACAGGTGAGGGCCGGGTCCCCAAGGCCGTGAACATAGGAGAGCTCTGAGGAGATCCAGGATTTACCTAGAAACAGATTCTGCTCAGGAGAAGAGCACCTGGTAGGTGGGCAGAGCTGGAGGGCGAAATGGCAGGGCTGGTGCAGTGCAGCCCCTCCAGGTTCCTCTTGGCTCCTTGGTTCCCACTGTGTGTGTTAAAGCGAGGACAGAGGAATCTCTCTGTGCACGTGCTACCTTGTTTAGAAACACAGATGGTGGCACTTAAGGTCCGCCACTTCCCAGCAAGTGTCCTGCCTCTGGCAGGTGTGAGGCTTGGCCTGGAGATGTGGATAACAAAGTAGAGGATCCGAGAGTGGCAGATGTCAGGGAGCGCCACGCTGCAGCGGTCCTTGGGTGAAGCCACACCTGGCTGCTCTACCTTCACCGAACCTCTGGATGTCGCCTCTGGGTTTCACGGTCCAAGAACTCTTGAGTTTGCCAGAGTAGTAAAAATCACAGCGAGTGCATCACCGTTCCTGCTCTGGGCCACCAGAGATGGTGCAGCTGCTGCGCCAGCCCCAGCTCTCCAGAAAGCGTGGCCAGGAGGGTCCACCCTGGGCGGCCCCTCCGGTCTGGAAGCCACGCCCACGCTTCTCCCCAGCCTCGTGTGGCGCTCCGTCTCCAGTGCTGCAGGCTTTCTTGTCCCTGCAGCAGGTGTTTAGCGTTGCAGGCATCTGTCTGAGGCCCACTTCAGTTTGCGTGTTTCTTAGGCCTGTGCTTGGGACCATGAGTGTCTCAAATTTTGGATTATTATTTTTTTTTTTTCCTAATTTTTGGACTATTTGTAGGCAAGCAATGAGATTTCCTGGGGCTGGAAGCCAAGTGTGAAACACAGCTCATTTATGTTTCGGGTACACTTTGTACCCACAGTCTGAAGGCCATTTCATGCCTTTGTTCTTGGAGACAAGGTTTGGCATGTATGTAGTTCATGACCTTGAACTCAAGGTGATCCTCTTGCCTCAGCCTTCTGAGTGTTGGGATGACAGGTGTGCACCGCCACACCTGGTGTATACTCTTATTTTTATTTATTTATTTTTTTTTTGCAGAACCAGGAATTGAACTCAGGCCGTTGTGCTTGCCAGGCAAGCGCTTATTCTATTGAGTTATTTTTCTTTCTTTCTTTATTTCTTGCCACACCAGGAGACTTGTCCAATGAACTCGTCCGGCACTTTCTCATCGAGTGCACCCCTAAGGGGGTCCGGTTGAAAGGTTGCTCCAACGAGCCTTATTTCGGTAAGTCCATCACGCATTCTCCTGAGGTCACGCACCCTGGGCGTCCGATTCCCTCTGCAGTGATCTTGGGATTGTCCTGGGGAGTGGCTCGTGTTTCAGTCCCTGGATCTAAGATTCCTGTGCTCTGAGCCTTTAGTTTGGGCGAGAGCAGGTGCGCAGCTCTTCCGCAAAGCTGGCTTCAAGCTGAGCTTGTGAAGTGCTGTGCCGCCCCTGGAAATCACAGCTGTCTGTAAGCAGCATTCCCACTCCTCAGGGGGCCGAGTCTGCCCAGGACGTATCTCAGGGGGGCCCCACCCTAGCACGGGGCTGGTGCTTTTCTGGGGGCTGCAGCACAGGGACAGGGGGTGCCCATTAAGGGTAGTGTGAAGTTTTCATCCATGGAGAAAGCTGGGGTACCTTGATCTCAGCCCCTCATCTCAGATCCAGGGAGCTGTTTGGTTTATTCTTTATGTTTGGTGGTGACGCGTCAGCGCTAGTAGTTAGCAGCCTGCTGTGAGCTCCACCACTTGGTTGTTTTTTCTCCTTCTTGTGCATTACTGGGATTGAACACAAGGCCTTGGGGCAGGCTCCATCCCCTACCTTTTTAATTTTGAAACAAGGTCTTGCTAAGTTGCCCTTGCCAAGCTCAAACTTGAGGTCCTCCTGTCCCAGCCTCCCGGAGTGCTGGGATGACAAGCCCATGCTCCCATAGCCAGCCCAGTTAGCTGTCCTATAGAGCCCGCCACGGCTGTGAGGCTCTGTGCCCCACACCTCGGCTCACGTGGGTAGCTGAAGGTGAAGCTCTCAGCCCTGGCAGCGGCTCACTTGAGCAGGGGACAGCAGGGCCCAGTGGCGGGTGCTCACGGCTTCTGTCCTCTCCACAGGGAGCCTGACAGCCCTGGTGTGTCAGCACTCCATCACGCCCTTGGCCCTGCCCTGCAAGCTACTCATCCCGGAGAGAGGTATGGGTGTTGGGGGTGTCGGGCTGTGTGCAGAACCCAGGGGAGGTCCCGTGGCAAGGATCTACGGCTTCAGAATGCACATTGCCCAACGCCGGCCGTCCCTTTCATTTCTGTAAGCCCACAGCATGGGCAGAAATGTTGTGGCTGTTGACTTGGGGTGATGGGGGAGGGGGGACCACTGCTCTGCTGTCAGGCTCATTTGGAGTAGTCAGGATGCATATATGTTGAAGGGGAATGCCTGCACTCGTGCCAGGACCCCTCTTTCTTCTGCAGCCTGCTGCAAAAGGATTTCCTGTGGGGATGGCCTCACTAACATGCAGGCAGCCATGGTTTTCCCATTCGACTTTCATTGTTTGTAGGGACGAATTCACAAGTGCTGCTGGTCCATGGCATCCCCAGCTTTGGGAGGTGACCTAGTTTTGGCGGGCTGGGTTATTATTAAGAGAAGCTCTCAACTCCGTGAAACTGCTACATGTCACTGTCTGGGAATTCTGTCATCCAGCTGCCTGACTTTGCAAGGCATGTTCACCCCTGTGCTTTCTCCCCACTTCCAACAGATCCCCTGGAGGAGATAGCGGACAGTCCGGCCCAGACAGCGGCCAACTCCGCAGCCGAGCTGCTGAAGCAGGGTGCAGGTCGGTCTCTCCCTGCCTGGATTGGGGGAAGGAAGGAGTTGGGTGTCCGTACTTCCTCCTGTGCTGCCCTTCTTCCTGCTTCCTTCTCTGTGCTGGGAAGGGAGGTGCCCTTTCTAGCCACTTGCACAGAACTGGGTGGGGCACAGCTGGCAGGAGGGGTGTGGCTGCGGTGCCTGGCCCGGGACAGTCCCTCTCAGCTGGCTGCACTGGCTGAACTCAACCGAAGTCAGTGGAATAAGTGTCAAATCCTGCACTGCATCTAGGGGAAAATATAGGAAGAGAGGATGTGGGTGACCCACCTCGCCAGCTGCAGCCGTTGTGACTCAGGCATTGCTGGGCGTGAGTCAGTGCTTGGACCTACGGTGCCCCTCAGCCAGCGCCCAAGGCCAGGCTGTGGTGTGCAGCGTTTTATTAATAGACTGTGCTCTTTAGAGCAGGGATGGACTCACAGCCTGAGGGGGAGACGGAGACAGCGCGTGTAGGTGCAGCGGGGCCACCAGTGGGGACAGCTGTGCCTTCATGAGCTCTTGACTCAGGGCGACCTGAAGCCCATGGTGTGGGCTAGCGTTCGGGCCTGGCACACTGCCTTCTGTGTGTTTGGGGCATGGGTGTGGCGTGCATCCACCACCACCGCATCATAAAGAGGGCTTTCACAGGCCCAGAGTCCCCCGTGATAGCCCTCCCTGTACCCAAGCCCCTGGCAGCGGCTGTGAGCTCTTCACTGTACCCGCCGTTCTGCCCCATCCACAAGGTCTCACGGGCAGATCTTACCACACACGTTTTCTGGTCGGCCTCTCCCGCTTAGCAGCACACTCTTCAGTTTCCTCTGCGCCTTTTCCTGGCTGGATGGCCCGCTTCCTTTCAGCCCAGGGTCACATTCCGAGGTCTGGGATGAACCACAGCTTATTTATCGCTGCTCCTGAGTTTCCATACATAGCCACAGGCAGGCTCTTGTGCAGATGGAAGCTTCCGGGTCCTTCGGGTTGGCACCGTGGGGCCCAGTTACTGGACAGGGTGGCAGGGAATGTATTTACTTGGGTACAACGCTGCAAAAGCATCTCCCAAAGTGGCTGACCTTTGCAAGGTGTGGCTGCCCCAAGCCTTGGGGCACTTGGTGCTGTCCCTGGGAGGACTGAGGCCGCTCTAGCTGTGGACTCTGCCCACTCTGTTGTTCTGGCTGGCATTTCCCAAGTGACTTAGGACACAGAGTACCTTGTCCTGTGCCCCTGGGCCGTCTGGATAACTTTTTGGTGAAGTATGATGGCTTTTGTCCCACTGTGGGTTTTCTTTTTCTTTTTTTTTTTTTTTTGAGACAGGGTCTCGCTATGCAGCTCAGGCTGGCCTTGAGCTCACTTTGTAGCCTGGGCTGATCTCGAACTTGCAAAGGTCCTCCTGGCTCAGCCTCCAGAGGGCTGGGATTATAGACATACGTCACTATGTCTGTCCCATCCTTTTGTTGGGCTGTTTTCTTATTATTGATTTTTAAACTGTCATCACATATTTGAGATAATGGTCTTTTATTTTATTTGTGTTTTGCAGAAGCTTTCTCCCTGTGCGTGGCTTATCTGTTCACTGTCTGACAGTCTCCTGAAGAGCAGGAATGCTTCTAAAATTATACTAACGAATTCACCTTTTAATGCTTTATCTAAAGTGGCATCACCAAGCCCAAGTTCATCTTGATGTTCTTTGTTTTCTTCAAAGACTTCAGTAGATTTACAGTTTGCATATCAGACTCCAATCTGTGTGGAGTTAGTTTTTCTGAAGAATGCTAGGCCTAGATCTAGGTTCTGGGTTTTTTGCAAGTGGGTATCCAGTGATTCTAGTACTGCTTATTTATTTATTAATTATTATTTTTTTTACTGTTTTTTTCCATAATTTTATTGAGAAACAAATAGCAATGAGACAGTTTCAAACCAAATTGGTGTGACAGTTTCAATAATTCACACATTGCATACATTCTTCCTAGTGGTTAATTGCTGTACAAGATGTGGACATGATATTCTATTTACAAACACTATTAGAACAAATCCCTCTATT